CCCCCCCTCTCGACTTTTTTCAATTTGATGTTCCTTCCCCTCTGTGAAGTCTGAAGTCAACTAAAGGGCTAATGATAACCATCAAAACGCCTGCCATTTGATATAAAGAAATAAATATTGTTGGCGAGAAATTAAACTACTGCATCAACTCACCACTTTATCATATTAATATGGCTTTGTTCCAATAAGAAAGTGAGCATAAAAGTAAGAAAAAAATGACAACAAGCCCAATGAATTGTTACATAATGAAGTGAGATGACGACAAGCAACTAAAATCACTAGCTAATCACTTCTTTCGACGGTAGAATAAATTCAAGAGTTCAACAAAGAGTTTCTTTGGTAATTTTGTGGCATCCGGACTGGAAAAATAACCATCGTCCTTTGCCTCCTCCTCCGTGCACATTGAATCTATCATCTCAAGGATACGGACTCGAGTCCGATCTTCATAGGCAGAGTAGATGGCAGGAATATCCAATTCACCAAATACCTTCCGAACAGCCTCTACGCAACGTGGATCCGACATACCATAGTTATTCTATTTTAAGATGCAAAAAAGCTTGCAAATTTAATCGAATTAAAAACTTGTTTTAAGGCAGAGAAAATGCGTGAATTATACTAAAAAGTCGAATTTGAAACTAGTGAAAAATAAATGAAATTACGGAAACTGTGATGTAGACTGAACAAAAAGAGCATACAACTGGTTTTGAGGGAATAAAGATTTCATCATAATCCATTCAGGACCAACTGGTGCGGTAAAATTAGGTAATATTAGATAATTAAGTAGACTGCAATTGATTTGATTTGCGTCACAAGTAAATACCTTGGCAACTTAAGAATAAAAACGAAAGATTATGGATAATCTTACCTACCAGGCACAAAGTTGTTCACCTCAAACTGGAAAAGGAGAAATTAGAAGGGAACAAAAATATTAAAAAAAGAGGAACCATTTTTGAGGACCACGGAGCTGTCTGAATTTGATAGGAAAGTAAAAAAATAAATCCTAATAATGAAAGGACAAAATGCTCAACTGTTGGTTGTTTGAGGTTAAGCACAGAAGGAAAAACAGCGTTTCCTTAAAAATTGCACGTCCGATTGAAAGCTGTCATTTCTATAGGCGTTTAAAAGTTGTCACGGAGAAAGGCAGTAAATAAAATTTACCAAAAATTGGTCCAAAATGCAAAAACAAACAAAGATGAAATATTATAGAATGATAAACAATAACCTAGGGGACAAATTGTAAACTTTTAGAGGTTGGTGATAGCAAAAAAAATCAATTAGGTAGTAATATTACCTGCAATTTTGACCTTCTTTAATTGCGGGTTTTGCCAAAACTACCTGTTCATGGAGTAAAAAAGGATTTTGAATGCGCGTAAATTACATTGTACCAGCATGCCCCCCCCCCCCCCCCCACCCAAACGTGATCACACAGAGAGAAGTGACCTTACTATCAATCTGAAATGTTCGATTAACAAACAATTAATGGTTAGTTCCACTAAAACCTATAATGGTAATATTGATCAGCAGAAAGTAAAAGGGTATAAACTCTTATTTAATTATTTTAGAGAATATGATCAATTTTGACAAATGAAGCTCACGCAACTCTAAATGACAAGAGGAAAAGTAATGTGAATTGGACACACTTCGGTGGAACACAACTACTAGTTGGAAGCAAAAAATAATACCTAAACCATCGACAACGTTTTAGAGGTTAGTCATTGAAGGCATTCTGTTAATTAAAGCCCTAAGGCCACCATAACTAGATAATTTCACAGGCAACAACATAATTTTGAAAAGTTATGTGATATTTTTAGTCAGTGCTAATGAAGTAACCTTGAGTTTCGAATGAACACGATTAGAGGAACACTATCAGACCGATTGAAAAACAAGCAGAGAAGGCGAATAGTTTGTAGATTACGGAGGCGAGTTCAACATATTCGATGTTAAATGTAATTCATCGAAATTTGTTAATGTGTTTATTCTCGAATCTAAATAAGCTAGTTTGGCCTGTTGAGTGATTGTTTATTCGGATTGTGCAATTTAAATAATGATCAATTTTTTGATGAACTACAGATCAAAAAATTAAACCGTGCAAATTGATTTTATAAGAGCACTAAGGTTGGTAAGAGGCGAATGGTTTTTATTAATTGTAACAAAGGTCCCAAGAATGGGGTAATAATCTCCCTCAGCCCAAATTTCAATAGAAGGAAAATAATAAATAAATACTGAAACAGGCCAGAATTCATTTTTACAAACACTAGACTAGAATTAGTAACCGTGCGGTGGATGAACTTTATAAATAGACGGTGGAAGAGAAATTACCCCCATCATGAAAGTGAAGGCCAACGAGCAAACCAACCAAATTCCCGACTCAGAATTAAATTTACTTTATGGATCACGAAACCAAAGTCATTGTTACAACCTATGGTGATTGATTAGAAGTTTGAGTATACTACATGAATATCGACTCGTATTCGCTTCAGATAGTTACCTTACACTACTCGTGGATAAAATAATCCTATATTAAGCCAACCAAATTCATGTCTCTGCTGGGAGACAGTTTGAAAAAGAAATCTCACAGATGACAAATGCAAGTATTCTAATACAGCAAAGGTGTTGACATGTCTGAAAAAACCTCTCGTGCACATGCACGTGTCTTGTGAAAAAGAGACAAAACTACAGAGAACTCGACGATGTGTTCCAAATGAGCAGTAAGGATAGACAGAAAAGACTCAAATGAATTATTAAATATAATTACTATCCTAGGAGTGGTAAAACCATTCCAATTATTAAACAAGATTCATGAAAAATCCCAACTGAACACACAAATTGGACACAAATTAATCTAATGCCACCTATGATAATTGGAGTTGCTTTGGTTTCAAGAACGGAAAGTAAACAAATTAGCTAAAACATACATACACCGCCCCCTCGGTCAAGATTGTATCTTAGGTCCCACATCTTTTCTTTGCATGGATCAAATAACAGCGAGAAAAGGCGCCTAATTCCACAGTACCCACCTCACCTCACCTTAACTTTTCTCTACCTTTGTCTATCTCTTTAACGTCTGTGAATCACTCAGCTAATGGCCTAATGATAACTATTACAAACCCCGCTATTTGACATAAGTTATCGGACATACTGTTTCTCCTGGCGCTTTAAAAGACATAGAAAAACAATCAAGGTTGATCTAGCACTCAAGAGCATAGAGAAACAACGTCCAAATGGAGGTTTTGAATAAGAACGAACAATTCTTACCCAAGAAAATAGTCAATCGTCCACTGTAAATAATTTATATGATTTACATTTTATCAAAATCTAGTAAAATTACAATTCTACATGCTTTATAAAGCTCAATAAACAGCTGAGATTGATTCAAACCCGTGCTTCTAATCAGTTCTGATTTTGTAGTCCATATTGGAGGGTTAATTAGGTAAAAACATGAGTTCAACCAAGAAACTCAGGGACCAAATCATGAGAATCATGCCTAGGAGCACGAGGATATTACGACTTGAATTACGATGCTTGTGGGAAAGTGGACAACTCGGTATCTGCTGAAATCAAATAAGACAAAACGTTGGACTATCTGATCTCATTGAATACGGGTGATTGATATGCGTTCCGCGCCATTGGTTGTAAAAAAACTAGACTAAATAAAAGACAAATCGATCTGCTTATCTTTCATACACACAATTTTACAATCTCACTTCAGATGTTCACACACACACACACACACACACACACACACTTTTGGTGTAGTTCAGCATACCCACAATGAAAAGGAATACCATGAGGCTAGGAGACCAATTCTGCATCAAGATGTTATCGCAATGCATCTCCAAGTGCCCCTTTTGGAGCAAAGTTAGATTTATGCTTTAGGCAACAAAGTGAAATTAGTTTGGTTAACATTCGATATATCACATTAGCATTCATAGGTGTAACGTGAACTCTACTTCAATTTTTTTATAATTGCAAATCGTATTACACTCTTTCTTCACATTTACGACTTTCTGATTGATTTAAATGAACTACATGTCTTATACATTCCCCCCTCACTCCCTTCAGACAATCATCGTTGGCCGTCTATTAGAATCGTTCTAAACAGGCTTTCTGTGGTCTGATTGAATGAAGTGGAATAAAACAGTAAGCTTTCATTTACAACACTGAAATAGGGTCAATGGAGTTACGAAAATAGGAGTATATTTTGTTGCGCTAAGCTACTGGCCTTCGGCTCACATGCAAACCGGCAGTTGTGTACAATGACCTTAACAAAATTTAATTTAAACATAAACCCAGTTAAGATAAGCGTATACTACTGAACCCAATCAATCAAAACGCCCTAAATTACTCCCATTTTTTTTCGTACATAAATACGCCGAAAGTACCAGGTATAGAAACGTCAGCACACACTATAAAGAGATTATAAAATGAGGCTACTCTATAAAAAAATCTTATATATTAAAGAATTTTCTGGGAATTATCAGAAAACCAGCCCTTTCCACTAATCAGCGGCTTGAGAGGAGTAGACTTAAAAATCTGTTCTGGCGAAATTGCCCACTACCCAGTCTAGACTTTACGCCTGGATGCGTGAAAGCGATCAGAAGACTATGGCGATTTAGGAGTGAGATGGAAAACCCACAAAACTCATCAATTGACGTCAGCACTAGGAAATCCTTACCATTTACGCAGAGGCCCTAGATGCTAATTTTCGCAATAGATTTGTAAATGATTATGGATATTCTCAAGTCCTAGGTAATGGCATAAAGTAGTAAGTTAAATCCAGGAAACTGCGGGCTTGCCAATTGAGCTTCTATGATTCCATACAAAGCTAAATTTGAAACCTAAATTGAGCTAGTCTCAATACTCACATATGGAATTAAAGACCTATCAAAGGGCCTCAGGAAAAGGGGTTCTTTAATGACCAAACTATGTTGGACAATTAGAAGAGAAGAAATGGGAAACGCCAATTCAGATTGTGAGAAACAGACAAAGTCAAATAGACTTTGAGGAGTTAACTGGTTCTACCATATGTGAGTCATTGTGTGACTGTTGGAAGAACAGCCAATCAGAAATCGCCAACTGGGGTAGAAACTACAGCCACATTAATAGCGCCTCGCCCCCAAGCTTTTATTTCCCTCACCTTTCTAAAAACCAAGACTTGAATTAATGTGAAAAATGCACAAGGTCATTTTGCGTCAATCTTTTAGGGAGTAAGCTACATGACGGCAACAGGGAGGTAAACAATCTACACAATCAAGTATTTAAATAGTAAAAATTGAGAGCTGAGCAGCTTGTAAAAATGCTTATGATAATAGGCAAACTGACTGAGTTGCCTAAAAATGAACCAATCTGGTTATGGAAATACAATGAACAAAAGTCGATTCGGATTCACTAAAATTAGTGATTTGTTCCATGTTGTGCTAATAACTATTTCAAAACTAGACATTCAAAGGTAAAATCGGCGGTTAAACACGATACATTTCCCAATGCTAAAGCGAACTTTCCCACATTCAGCTTTACAAACCA